AATGGAAAAAACTGTGGAGAATAATGTTGAAGATTTCATTTGTCTGGTGGATGATAAAGACCTTGTCTTCAAACTGAACAACAAGAATGCCTTCAATTGCCATTATGATATCATTGCTGTTGACATTTATGACTTAGTTTCTAGGCTTATTTCTTGCAAATTTGTCTTTGATTGTAATTGGGTTTCTGAATGTGTGGACTTAGCCAAGATGGCTTTAGAGGGAAAGCTAAATGCTGCCTCCCGTGATGATGGTGCCTTAGTTGTTTAGGGTATGATTGTCTGTAGTCATTTGACTAAACCTTATGTACGTTGTTTGAGTTCTTCTATTATATTCAGGTTAACTTTGAAAAAAAAAAAAAAAACAAACAAAAATATAGATGTTCATAATTTGTCCCCATGTGAATATATATTCGGCACGTGTTATGGTGTTGGAAGAAAAGTTGATGCAAGTAATTTAGGTATGCTCGACTGCCTGTGCTGTGTCGGTTAAATTTATATATATTGAAAAAGGGAGGTCAATATATCATTTGTGAAAATTTTTAAAAAATAATGAGTCAACTATGTTACATACTAATTATAGTAATCTTTTAAAAATTGTGCAATTTGAAATTCTGAATTATTATTTTTTTTTCGGTCGGTTCTGAATTATTATTTTGTTCCACAAAGATTTCACATCTTATCAATAACTTTTGATTTTATTTCCGTAAAATATGTTAACAAATTTTTAATTTTATGTATTATTCTGTTTTATCCCAACAATCCCGCAACATCAATTCCGTGAAAACTGTTTATTTAAACTCGGATACACAATTATCTCCTCAAATACGAAACTCCTTCAGGAAATAGAAACCCTATGCTATCTGTATACAAGGAGAGCTCGATCCAAGAGATCTCAACTCACACCGCGATAGAGAAAATGCCCAAAGACCACAATAAGTGCTCTAAGCAAGAAAAGACCGCCGCAGACCCAACGAACATCATCATCATCGTTGGCCGAATTCCAAAAGGGAAGCGAGACTGAGAGCCGTAGTTCTTCATAGCGCAATCCTTTCGGGCATAAGAGTTTTGTATAATGTTAAACTGACGTTCTGGTTCGACATCTTCAAAGTAAGTTTTTCTAAATTTTTATAATGTTTTCTCTTAACACTCGCTTTTTTAACTATGCAAATTGATCTCTGATTGTGTTATATCTGCCTTTTTTTTTTCAAAACATTGACAAAATACGAAATGTCAGTTGCCCAGTTTTAGTCATACATGTAAGAAATCTATCACTTTTGCCCTTTCTTACTCCAAATTACATTTGAATATCTCTGGACTGTTGTTACTACTGGTTTACTGACTGAAATAATATAAATTATATGTAAAATTTAATAAGCAAGTCATTTATGATGTGTTTCGATTGTGATTCTTATATGTGTAACCATTTTTCACGTTCTTTGATCAAATATATTCATCTTCGTGACTTTGTCTCATATCCAAGCTAAGTTGACTAGAGTAATAGAGTGGTTCCATTCCTGTATGTTACTCTTAATTAGATATAATTATTTCATGGTTTAGAAAAGACAAGATTTATAGTAGTCTTTGGTTGTCTCCCTCAGTCTATATAGAAAACTGCAATCACCGTAAACACTGACTGGAATGCAGTTAAGGTTAAAATTATCTTTTACGCGATTAAATGGGATATAGAGACCACCCATGTTCTTTCTTATTTTTCCTTTACATTTCATTGTAGCGTGACTTGAATCTGAAAATTTGTGACCTTTACTATTAATTGAGGTTTACATGAATTAAGAGTGTGAAAAGGGAATGGTTTTACTGTTCATGGGAAGTCCTCTGTCACCTGAGCTATCTTTCAGATGTTATGAAAAACTTACCGGTTCACTTAAAGCTGTAAACCAGTCCTCAATAAGACAAATGTGAATTATGTGTTGAATATTATATAACCAATCCCTTGCACTATAACACCAGCTTTTGTTGAGACTTTCTCCAACTGCTAAAGAAATTTGACAATTTCATCCCTGAAAAAATATATAAATAAATAAAATCAATGCAAAACGTTTTTTCCTAACGGAGAACTTGACATATTTTTGTTAAAAGATCACATGATATAGTTAATTTTGGTTTTTCTTTTGGAAAAAAAATGATGTAGTCATTATTATTACTCCTCGAAACTCTTAATTATATGATTTTTTTCTGTTATATTTTGTGAAAAATTCATATTCATGTTTGCATATATATTGTACAAATGACATTGTCAACTTTGTTATATTTGGTGATAAATCCATGTTTTCATCTAGGAAATACATTGTCTGACTTGGTGATAACAGATAAATCCATGTCTCCATGTAGGGAACAAAAGACGAGATTGTGGACTTATCTCACGGCAAGCGACTTTGGGAGATGGCAAAGGAGAAATACGAGCCATTGTGGGTTCAAAGTGGGGGCCACTGTAATCTCGAGACATTCCCCGAGTACATTAAGCACTTAAGGAAATTCGTAATTGCAATGGAAAAGCTTTCATTCTCCAAAAGACCCAAGGCTCGACCCTCTCCTGCCTCCAGCATTACCGAATTCAAACACAACAAAAGTTTAAGATTTAGACAAAGATAACTCTTTTTTTTTTCGTTCCTTTATTTTTTTTATTCAATATCAATGTAGGGACGTTCAACAAACTACTGCTGTTTTGCCATCTAAACTAAACATTCAAAATGTGGATTGCAACCTGACTACCAAATTCAGCATCATTGTAATGGAAGATTCAATGCATCTTTATACTATCCATTGAATAGTTTTCGGAGAATGAAGAAGAATGGAAGTTCCACCTGAATCAATCAGAGGTTTTCCTACATTTGTTTTCATTTAAAGTTTGTATTGTGATGTCAGAGTAAGCTGTAAATTTACTGTCATACTGTAAATAAGACTCTGGATTTGTTCACTTTTAAATTTTTTTTTCCCCTGTTATTTGATGTCCAGTCATTTTTTTTTCTGGAGTATGTACAACCACTTTATTAGTTCTGTCTGCATCTTAACCAGTAATCTGCGTCGACACTTATCTTATTTGGAGTTTCTGCGTCTGATTAATATTATTCGGTGCCAAGAGACTCTTTTTCTTGCTTTCTTTCACCTGTGTCGGATATATATATATATATTTTTTCTTGAATAGATATGGGGAAATATTGGATATGTTTACCCAAAAATATCAATGATTTGTTATTTTAAATCAAATAAAATAAATTTGTATCTAAGCAACGCTCTCGCATTTGAAAAGAATGAAAAGAGTTGGTTAATGTCTTGGATGAGTGGCAAAATATAATGTACCATTTTGAATTTAAAGAGATTTATTATGCATCTATATATATTGAAAAATGATGGTCAATAAATCATTTGTGGAGAGTTGATAAAAAGCTTGGGTCAAACCCTTTGACTAACCACTTATAGAAAATCAGTTCAAAGTTTGGTGTACAGTTAACGCATGTAAATAAATCTGTTTTGGAAATAAATCGAGATTTCTCTGTTTTATTGGCATGTCCTTTGGAAGTAAATCTGCTTTGGATATTTAAATATATTTGTGGCTGATATTTTTATTTTGAAATGAATTCTGACATATTATATTGTTTAGATATTTAATTTTATGTTTATCGGCAGTTCACAATTGTCTTTTTTAATGTTTTTTTTTAATTCAATAATCATTATCGATTAAGAGAAATATATATAATTTTTTAAATCTCACTTTTTATGAAGAAATTATTTAAAACTCTAATAAATATTATTTATTTAGTATCTATGTACGATTTTCTATGTTCGATTTTGCTAATCGAAAATTGAATCGAAATATTCTTTACAAAAATTTCCTGATTAATAATTGCTCTCAATTATGTAATTAATATGAAATCGGACTTTCTGGTTTGATTAAATAATTTTGAATTTTTTGAAATATGATTTTAAATATGTAATGTCCTAAATATGAATATGTATAATCTATACCTATATATATTGAAAGAGAGAGGTAAATAATCTTTGGAATGTCTTCTGGTAACAAATTTCACAATTTTTTGGATTGTTTAGAGTTAAATATTGCAGAAAAAATCCCGAGATTTGATAAATAATACATAAAAAAAAATTATTTTTCAATGAATTCAAAAAGCTTATCAATTGCTTTTTTGCAAAGCAGGAGTGGATCAAGCCAGCCAACTGTTAAATCTCCTAAACAAGTATAGGCTTTTTACTGGGCAAAGGGTAAATCTGCAGAAATCTGGGATTTTCTTTAGCAGGAATACACCTCAAAGTGTGAGGGACAGCATTTGTGGTGTGCTACAGGGCATTGTGCCTCACAGATCAACAAGATACCTTGGATTGCCTCTGGGAATTGGTAGATCAAAGAAGGAAGTTTTTGACTACATCATTTCATCCATCAGGAACAAATTGCAGGGCTGGAAGAACAATCTACTTTCTCCAGCTGGCAAAGAGGTATTGATCAAATCAGTCTTACAGGCACTCCCCATTTTTTCTATGACATGTTTCAAACTACCAGTTGGCATATGCAAAGAAATCTCTAGACTATGTGCTGCCTTTTGGTGGAAATCTGGAGACAACACAGGATCTGGAATACACTGGAGGAAATGGGAGAGACTCACTCTGCCCAAGCTTAAAGGAGGTTTGGGGTTCCTTGACATCAACCTATTCAATGAGGCCTTAATGTGTAAACAGTTATGGAGAGTCTTCTCCAAACCAGAGCTTTTGGTGAGTAGGATTCTGAAGGACAGATACTTCCCCAACAGCTCCATTTTCAATGCAGAAAGAACACAGAAAGGCTCTTGGCTTTGGCACAGCTGGCTCTCAGTGATGCCTATCTTCTCCAAAGGTGTTAGAACTGAAATCAGGAATGGGCTCTCAACCAGGATTGATGATTTGAATTGGGTGCCTAGGCTGGGAAAACCACATCCTTCCTTGATTGAATTAGCAAGAGGGCACTTAGTTTGGGTAAAGGACTTGCTTCAACCTAATGGTCTTGAATGGAACAAATGGCTTGTGGAGCAGGTCTTCAACTCTGAAGATAGTGCTGCAATACTCAAGATAAGTACCTTAAACCCTGCTAGACAAGACAGACAGTTTTGGGGATTTGATTCTAAAGGCAATTTCTCTGTAGCCAGCACTTATAAATTCCTGGTTTCACACAAGATTCTGCATTTGGACATTCCAGAGTCAAGTCACAGCCCTTATCCTCCTCAGCAGATATATCAGAGATGTTGGCAGATGAAGGTGCAAAGCAAAGTGAGGCACTTCATCTGGAAATGTATCACAGGAACATTGCCTTCTGCTGTCAACTTGAGGAAGAAAGGACTTGATATTTGTGTCATCTGCTCCATTTGTGGTGATCAACCAGAAACTACAGAACACATTTTATTTTCATGTCCAAGAGCAAGTAGGATCTGGGAAGCTGCACCTGTTAATTGGGACGGCTTACAACACAGCACCCACTCCTTCAAGTATTGGTGGCAACAGGTTAGTCACATTAAACAAACTGATGTTGTCCAAGCTAGAATTCAACTTTCCACCTATTTGCTTTGGTGGCTATGGAAATCAAGAAATCACTGGATTTTTAAAGGATCACTAATGCCAGAACACATTGTGATATCTGCTGCTCAAAGGGATTGGACTGAAGCTTCTTTAGCTGCAGAGCATAGTGATGTCTTTCATCCTTGATAGGATTGATTCTTTTTTGCTGTGTGGTTTAGTAGGTTAGGGTTGTGAAGTGATGTATTCTAGCTAGGCCTTATGGCAGTGGAGAGATGCATTTCTTCTTCTGGTTTTCTTTTCTTAGTTTGGTTAGATTTGTTGAGGTTCTAGGTGCTTTGTGTGGCATCTCTCAGTTTTATTTTAGTTGGTGTGATGTAATGTATTTGAACTCTTTCTTGTTGGTTATATATATTGCCCCTATCGTTTTGGCCAAAAAAAAAAAGCTTATCAATTTAAATTGTAACAAACTCCATTAATTTTGGTAAACATTATGTCACATTGGTATGACACATAATCTTCAAAACAAAAAATTAATTGTTGACTTACTAATATAAGTAATATCAATGCGCCCCACATGTCAACCAATTTAATAGAATTTTGGTAACAAATTTGATCGGATTTTGATAACAAATCTCAGATTTTGGTAACAAATTTGATCTTATTTTGATAACAAAATCTCGGATTTTGTTAACAAATTTGATCTGATTGTGATAACAAATCTCGGTAAATCTTTTAGAATATCGGTTTTTTTTTGTAACACACTTCATAGTTATTTACCCACAATATATTGCAATAATCTTTGAGATTTCTTTAGGTAATAAATTTCATAATTTTTTTCGGATTGTTTGGAGTTAAATATTACAGAAAAAATCTCAAGATTTGATAAATGATACATATCAAAATAAAAATATTATTTTTCAATCAATCCAAAAAGCCTTACCAAATTAAATTGTAACAAGCTCCATTAATTTTGGTAAACATTATGTCACATTGATATAAAACATAATCTTCAATAATTGACAAAATCCAAGACACATGTAACACGTTGCACATTTTTTTTTAACAAAAACGGTAAACATATTTTTTGAAGTCGATCGTAATAATATTGTTGATAACCGATCTGATTTTCCATATATTTTTCAAGATTAAAAGGAGGATATATTAATATTATCCTCAACACTTCTTCCAGCCCTATTCTTACAACAAACTTAACCCACCTCGGTACAAATAAGGAAGTAAACCGACTTCACACATAAAAACGAACCGACTTCACTTACGTCGGTGGACCGATCACACACTAAAGACAAAAACTGACTTCTCCAATATTCTTTCCTGAAGATTATCCACACAAACCGAGTTTCGAGGTAGTTGGATCCCAAAGCAGGTGACAAGGCACGTGTCTGATTGGGCCACATGTTACTCCTGTAATGACGATGACTTGCCACCAAATCAGACCCAAATCGTTGTGTACAAAGAAGTGTTTACTAATTTATGAAGTTTTAAATTTGTTTTTTTTTTCATCTTACATTTGTTACATATCTACAAAGTGCATTCAATTTAATGTTAATATTAAAAAAATTTCAGAAAAGTAACCATCCCGTGCATCGCACGGGTCAGTACTAGTTGAGAATTGAAGATTATTGCTTTGCTAATGGGCCGAATAATTAGTGAATTAGTTTAATTAAGTGGGCTAATGAGGTTGATATCTTATGCTTCTTCAACTAAATAACTAATGGACTGTGGGCTCATGCACATGGAAAGTTTTTTTGGGCTTTGTCTAATAGACTTTGAGATGAGATTGGGCCATCTCCTAGTCTCTTTAATCATATGGAAAATGGACTTTGAATTTGAAAATCCATAAGGCCAATATTATGTCTTTTGTCCAAATCTTATAAAACGCTCGCCGATTGACCAACCATATAGTCAAAGACGTCGCGACTCATTCACTCCAAGACACGTCGTTTGTGAACAAGTCTCGAGGGGGCATTTGTAGATACATAAAATTTGTGGCCAATCAAATGGCGCCATGTGGAAATTAATTTATTAAAAATCAAGTCATATTTTCTATTTATATTTTAGGAATTCCCATATAT